GTGTCTTCCGCAAACCTGCGTGTCATCGTCAGGTATTCTCATCATTGCCAGCTCTTTGCACCACTGTGTCACTTTCAAACGTACGCAGGATTGTCCTTTCCTAGCAATATTAACAAATTCGCCAAGTAAATCTAGGAGCACCTATCCTTCCAGTGGATTCTTCGCCAGAAGACTCGCATTGTTAGACATAGAACACGTCTATCCCGAGCCGTCTTGAATGAATATGAATAAGAAACCAAGGTAACCGATTTGAACATCTGCTTGGGTCTCAAGAAGCGAAGTAGAACGAAATCTAGAGGCAAGATTATCAAGGTAAACCTCGAGTGTTATTTGGGTACTGTGTACATTTCACTGTGTTTCTGATGAACCGGTGATTTGGTCACAGACAAGGACTTCCAGTGTGACCTAGTGTGGTCAGTCGATAACACTGATCGATAAGTTTATAAGCGTGCTTGCTTGTCAATCGGCTGTTCGCTTATCACATTTTGTCAAAACTGCACCAGAACTGTAGATCACCCTAACCGGTTCACATCTTGTATGACGTTGTCGATTTGTTCACAGAGTGTGATGGCGCCTCGTCGTCATTCGGGGAGACATCGTCAGCGCGCTGTTGGGTGGGTGTTTTCTTCCGTCATGATTGTGTCTGTGCGATTTGGCCAATAGTATCCCGTCTTTTACGTGACGGGGTAGCTCGTCGATAGTCCGACGAGCTTACTTACCACTTGTTGAACCGTTTACACCCGTTTGGTTGCGTTCTCATTTCAGTAGTTTTCATCATTTATTTTTATTGCTTCTGGAACAACTCTTGTCTCGCTGTTCCGCAGAAGCATAGCGTATTTGAGAATGTTCTCATCCGGAATGGCGAAGAATCATCCAGTTCTCCCAGTAACAGGCCGTAGTGGGTTAGATTCAAGTTAGAAATGGCAGAGTTGGGAAACTGGCCATTTATCACACTCCCTTTGATTTGCATTCATTCATGACAGTGGGTAATTGCAGCCTACAGTCTACAACACAATCGATTTCTAGCGCAGCCAACTCTCGCATTGCCAGCATAGTCCCCATCACCCGTAAACTATGATTGTAACAGTTTGGGTGAAACTCGCAGCGCCAATGTAGCAGAATGTGATCGGGTTGGATAGCCTGCACTCCCTTCTGTGAGCAATTTCGCGGAAAACTGGATGAATACATCTCTTCGAAGAGTAACTGTGCCAAACGGTGATACAACAGTGTCAGCAATCGTTTCTCATTTCAGTGATCGCTCAAAAACCCGATAAACGTATATCCGTGTCTTTGTTAGAATCGAGGGCAGAAGGTTTTGCATATGGCAGAGCTTTTCGACCACGTGTGCCCTAAACATCTAGTTCGATTTCGACCCACTGTACGACAAGTACGCGGTTATTACAGCTGACAATGATGATGATGATGACAACGGCTTGGCGACTGAGTAGTCCGACTGTTCGGGCTTAAGAACCAAGCAAACAGACGATTACGGCAAGATTCACGCTGGTCTTTTTAAAAACTGGTCATCACTCTAATTAATTCAAAGAATCCGCGGAGAATAGTGGCCAACTTACCTAGTGTGTAAGTTCTCAATGATGCTTTCGAACACTCCCGTCATTTTCGCTTTTCCAGGTTGGCGTCTGATGTTCCTCGAGGGCGGTATCACCGCACTTTGGCGGGGCAATGGCGTGAATGTGTTGAAAAATTGCCCTGAGAGCGCCATTCGGTTCGGACTACACGGATGGCTCAAGTCGGTACTGTTCCCGGAGGTGAAAGGCAACCTACGACCGGATCAGCGGTTGTTAGTAGCGAGTTTAGCTGGCGCCGTTTCGCTCACTTGTACATACCCCATTGAGGTGAGTGCACTGGATGACTTGGTTAATCAGGTTACGTTGTACAGAGGTCCCGTGCACAATCAGCACGGGACGGGTGTTTATCTTGAATTTTACAGCTGTCTGTGAAAAGATTTACTTCATCTTAGACCATGGTCCTCAAGGTCGTATGGCTTCGTTGTTTGTAAATTGGGTCCGATACCGACTGTGAACAATACCAAGTGTTACGCTAACAGCCGAACTGTCACCTGACTCCTCTGACAGAAGATGTATTCATTCGCCAACCGCCCCAAAATCGATGGAAAATCGGTCAGTACTGAACCCTGCACTGCTAGACTGGGCTCATTCCGAACTAGCAATGATACTCATGCCACAGTCGTGTAACGAAGACGTCTTCCTTGCGTAACAGCAAAAACAATCGTAATAGTGCAAGTTCTTCATAGCTGGTTGATCGATTTGTTTGTATCTAGACAGAATGTGGAGCCACCACCTATCAATCACATCGTTTCCACCGTGAAACCCTCGAAATGATGGATTCTAGGGTAGAAGAGCCAGCAAGATATTTTCCATTTTGAACAGGTAGTTTCTGCTCAGAAAGTGAAACGCATAGACCTGCTACTTGAGAAGTCATTCAAGAAGCCAATCAACCCAGGATCACGTGGTGTCAGTTACCAGCTTGCAAGAGCACATACAGGTCGATCACCTTACTGATCAGTCCCTAATTGCTGAAGTCTATAGCGTTTAACTAAGGACCGGAAAGTGGGGATCCGATTCTTCGTAGATATTCGTGAATTACGTACCGTCGATTATTCACACACCAGACTGCAGTCATGTGTAGCCATACAACTTTTGGCTGTCTTGCGTTACGAGTCTTGTTTGCTATATTACAGAGCGTAATCATGTCGGCAACAGTGGCAGCTTCATCATGTTCGCTGTTGGCGAAAAATTCGACAGCAGTTAGTAGCTTTTTCTAATAACCCAGACTTGTCGAATTGTTTCCAACAACCTTATGAGTAGTGTACTACGTCCAAACAACCTAGACTTTTGTTTGTCCTCGAATTCGACAACCTGGATTCCTTATCTTTCAGATTTTAAAGACGCGAATGGCGATGCGAAAGTCAACCGATCCCAAATCCATTGTCGCATGTGTTCGCCGAGTTTACGGTCAGGGAGGTTTGTCAGGTTTCTATCGAGGATACAAAATCAGTATGCTCAGCTACGTTCCGTATTCGGGCATGGAACTGGCGATCTATGAAGTGAGTCAACAGGTTGTATTTTGTTCTATGTAATTTCGCAAGGCATAGTTTATAATGGGTCTTCAGACGTCTGCAGCGGCCGTTCCTCCCCGCTTCAAACGTAGTCATCACCATCATCATTTTCAGCTGTAAGAATCGCGTACTTGTCGTACGGCGGTCGTAGCTACCACAGTTTCATCATCATCATCATCATCATCGACAGCATGACATCAGTGTTCAACACCGATGCTTCACTGCCGTACAACCATGA